TCGTCGAAGGTACATATACAGTGTTTTAAATAAGGACATGATGGAACATTGTAGGTTACCCTGTAGTTTTTCAACTCATATATTCCCTTCAATATGTATTATATTTTAATTATGCTGCAATATCCTGTACAATTGTATTTGCTTTATGATACATCTACTATAAACTACTAATAATAGCAACCTTGAAACAATAATTATTGACCTCAAATTGAAAACACTCAATAGATATCAGTAGAGTAAGAACAGTCAGAAGACAATGAAGCTGATATGATTAATAAAGCTGAATAAACAATAACCTACAACCATATATCTTTTTTGTAACATATTTTAATGAACTTTGACTTAAATCTTATGTGATTTAATTTTAGACAAAATTTTAAATTGCTTTTGAACACATGAATTTGATCTGATGTGATAAAGTAATGCAAGGTTAAAATTAAAGCATACTATATGATCCCCCAATAGCAGACTATATCATTCTTATGTGTTTACCTAAACCCAATACAACACAATAAAACTTTATTATTCCACAGTAAGTCAAACTGTTTGGCCATTTGACATTAAAACATCAAACATTATATAAATAAGTAAATATACACAGATTATAGCTGTAGAAAACTAAGGGTAGGTAGTAGTAGATATTTTAAGGGTGGGTGGGTGATAACATTGTTATACTCTAATATAAAGTGGAATTTGGATGGGCAAGGAGGTTAATAATGGTGAGTGCAAGACCATGATATTAGTTTTATACAGTACTGGGAAGAGCACAGGGCATGGTGGCCTGTCCACCACAACTACATCCCTGAATACAACTCTTTTAAAAATCCATAATGAGATACCATTCTCCAATTCCAATTCCATTTTCATTTAACACTAAAGCTTGATATTCATCTCTAACCTTCAGATAATTTAATATGTTAAATCTTGTAATTCAGTGTTTTACCTACTACTGTATCTAACACTTAGGCACTATAAAAATATTATTAGTTTACCACCAGAGAAATTTTTACTAGACATTGTACGATGGACTAGTACCAAATCAAGCCCTGCATTGATATTCAAAGTAAAACATGATTTAGATAATACAAACAATTCTACTTAACTACTACCGTAAATTTTTTCCAAAAAAAAAAAATAATTTTCTTCAATTGCGAAAGTGTTGAAAATTAATTATTTGTTTTATTGGGCCTTATATAGTATAATATTCTTCTTTGAAATTAAAACCCTCATCCCATAATTAAATACTGTATGTTACCTATTCCATAATAATTTGCAGATATGTTGCATATTTTGAAACTTTAGTATAGTAGTTGTATTAATTCTAGGTTTTATTTCCCATAATTCCATATTAAATTAAATATATCCAACTGCTATTTTAACATTCTTAATTCTCATGTATTACAGTACTGTATAAAACAGAAGACACTATTGATCAACCAGTGCCATTCGACAAATAGAAACTACTGTATACAACATGCCACCATACTTTAATTAAGATCACCATTTCCTAACCAAACAAGAAATAAACACTGTAAACCGAAAATGAGAATCTTGATTACCATGGAATTACCAGTTAAAATTAGATAAGTAATAATAATAATAATAATAATAATAATAATAATAATAATAATAATAATAATAATAATAACCTATTTCAAGACCTGATATGGAACACTTCAATTAATATGAACATACAGCAGCA